TAATTTTGGAAATATAAAAATAAAAATTATTCATATAAGGAATTATTTTTAACAAAGCTAAAAAAATATGGAATATCAGAACTAAGTTTTACATTAATATTTTCTGCATTTAACATAGAATGTTTAATTTTCTTTTTCATATAATCAGTATTTTTTCTTTTGTATTTATGACTTGGATCACAATTTTTGGATAACAGATTTTATAAGAAACTCAACAGTCTATAAAATATCAATGGTTTCTGAATATAACTATGTTTAAGCACATTAAATTCTTAAATAACAATAAATATGTGCATTCAAAATCAGATTTTCCAATGATAATGTATTCATATAGAAGTGTTGTCAATACTATTACTAACCTGGTGAGTTGATCGTATATATGCGTCCACCACAACTACATTTGATAAAGTTTTGTCTATTAGAGGACTAAAAATAGTCTCATAACTGTAGCCTGTGTCACCATTTTCAATCTGAATCTGGTAAAAAGAAAATAGGAGTCAAATTATATTACATACACAAACTACAAGTGCATTAAAATACAAGTTCCTGGAGTCTACATGCACGCTGACTATAACCACAATGACACTTCTACTTTTACTCATGTGAACAGATTTGAAAGTGTTGCATGAAAATCAAAGTGCCCCTCCCTCCAAATACTCACTTGCCTGTGCGTGCGCCCAATTTCTTTCTGTTTATTTACCGCCTCTTTCATCACTTCTGCTCGTGCCAGGTACTCTTCTGTCTTTTTCTTGAAGTGACTACGTTTTGTTTCATCTTTGACCTCTGCCAAAAGAAAGGTTATATTGTCTTATAGAGTAACTCGTGAGGTAATTTTCATACCTGTCAACCTATGCATTTTCTTTTCCCACAGATTAAGCATATAAGCATTCAAGAAATCAAAATTACCAAAGGGAAATACTAGACATGGAAATACCTTTAGCTGCTTGCAGGAGTAGTCTGATGCCTTGTTCATAACAAGCTAAAGCCTCTGCAAATTTCTTCTCACCATCAAGCTGCACTGCACGAGTCAGTACTTGGATTGCTGCTGCCTCCGACCCCGACATTGCTGTTTACTTCTGAAATATTACTAACAATTATTTTCAGAAACTTTGGTCAACATTACCCTACATGATACACAGCCCAATAATATCCAAGGTTACTGCTACACAAAAACATAAAATGTGCAATAACCAATAAACCAATGCAAAGATATGTGATCAAAACGATTGTTGGAAGTGCTAATCTTTCAAAAATTTCCTATCTGGGGTAATATATATCTAAGAGATCCACAAAACATAATGCCACCAAGCAAATTATCTGTGTAACCATATTGTAATTTGATGGAACTGTTGCACACTGGCTTGTTGAAATGTAATACATATTTTCCTATTGTGATGAAAAGTTATTAATCAAAAGACATTACATAAACAAAATGTTATCGTGATGCAGTGTTATTTCAAAGGATGCGTTGGTTGTGTATTTCCCCCCCCCAAAAAAAACCATCAGAGTTGCACATATCACAACACCTTAAAAATTACCCGATGCCCAAATACCCTGATCCTGCACCGTGCACGAGAGGTTGCCAACAATCCAGATGTGACCAGCAGCCTGATACACCTTGCAAGCCTCGTCCGCGGGCATGGGGTCTTGCCAGGGCACGTGGGGCTGGAGGCGTCGCCAGAGGGAGGCCCGGGGACAGGTGCCACAGGGATTCAAGGCAGGTGCCACGGGAGGCGAATGGGCCGCGTCTCCCCAAAGGGCAACAGTTCCGTGTTTACATTTCGGGACCGGATTATTTCCAGCTTGCATAAAGTAGTCGCGTCCAATATACCAGTCGAGAGGAAGGGGCAAAGCTCCGAGATTTTAAATTATGATGATTCTGTGCATATTCTGGGGAAAATGAGGAAAAGAGTTCGGGTTATCGTGAAAAAATTAGGGAATTGGAGCGAATGGAGAGCTCCGCCTCGCAACCCCGACTTACGATGACCCTAGTTGACGGCCGCCAGCAGGAGAATCGATTGCGATGAACTACTTAATATCACACTCTTTTTATCTCTAACTTCCTTCTGCATGTGTCCAGCGTCTCGACATGTCCTCCAAGGTGAGCTAGGAACACGCCAGCTACAAAAATAAAGTCCAGTCTGTTGTACTTCAGAAGATATAAGTGTGCGACTCGGGTGTCTTTGGGCTGTGGTTGGAGGTTGAGGTTCCTGGGACGACCTTTTTATCACGAGAAATCCACGATGTCGGGTATTCTGCGTGTGTGTATTCACTCTTTAGGCGTGGGAACCTAGTATGATCATTTTCTTAGTGCCAGGTGTAAGGTTTGGCCGTAAGAGCTTTTGAATAATTGGTGTAACTCGCCTCGGAACTGTTCTCACTTTTTTGATACGCGATTTTTATGTTTTTTCAAATGGTTTGGGAAGATTTTTAGGAGAAATCAGTAGCAGAGGACAAAAATTGCACAGCGAAGAATACATACTGTGTAAAATTACATTTG